CTCATCAGCTATTCACCTTCAAGGGTAGGGAGGCCTGCAGCTCATCAGCTATTCACCTTCAAAGGTAGGGAGGCCTGCAGCTCATCAGCTATTCACCTTCAAAGGTAGGGAGGCCTGCAGCTCATCAGTTAATTCCCATCAGTCACAACAATATCTTTCACTAGACCTTAATCTGCTCTCTTTGCTGTATGAGTTCCTCTCAGTTATTCCATTTTTAAAACCTTTAAACCTTTAATGGCCTCCAATTCATGGTTAACTTGTGCTGAACCTAGCATCTCCAGCCAGTCACAGTAACACAACATCTTTGTTTCCTTCTGAACCCTCATTTTATATCTATATCAGTTTGATTGTTGATGTTTAGTACATCTGTACAGTCTACGGTCATTCTATATATCCATACTGGTAAGCAGCAGTTGGTATAGGAACTTGCAAGACTGGCCTGGGTAAGCTCACTGGTTTTTTAAGAGTAGTGCCGCCCGTCCTCATGCAGTCCTTCAGTGACTTGGGTTTAAATAACGTCAACCAGACAATCACATTTTGATTCTTTGCGACGGACCCTATGTTATGACAAGATATATAAATGCTATAAACTGCATAAACGTGCAGTTCAGGGAGCCTCAAAATAGGTACGGCTCCTACACGATGACCTACAAGGTGCTTTCTGTAGCACACATGTGATGGTACAATACATTTAACATAGACATAGAGCAGTTCCACAGCCTCAGTGTGCCCTAAGGCACAACTCTGCCGACAGAGTGGGGAAGAGCAGCCCTCCGACAGGGCAGCAGGACCTGCCCAGGATTCCCGCTCCTTCTGTGACAGCCCTGCTCTGTTCCACGTCAAGCTGCTGCCGTCAGCTTGAGGCGCCCAGGGGATCGAATTCCCTCATGTACTCCTGCTTCAGTCTGGCCTCCATAATCCAGGACAGATGCCTGCCATGCATTTCCATCCTCGGCACTGCTGCATGAAATCAAGACCATGCCTTTTCTAGAAGAGATCGCAGACTGTCCGTAGCCAGTGGCAACAGCGGTGAATTTTGTCATGCCTTTCAAGAAGTCTTTATGGCAGCTTTTAACAGTCAGAATGTGGGTGTTCAAAACAGACACTGATTGGCCTTTCTTTTTAATAAGAGAGTCCATCTGGAGAATGAAAATGCACAAATTATTTTACTGTGATTTACTGCTATCAGGGAATTATTGAAACAGACAATATATCAATGAAGATTACAGTCTACTTTTGTATTTAGGTTTGCCTCAACATATTTCATTTGGCTTTATTGTTTATGTTTCTACATTATATTATTTCTTTGTAGGTTTTTCCCCGTTTTTCTGTGTACAGAGGCCTTGGCACATAGCGAGGGACAGGAGATCCCTCTGTTTTTTCATGTACTACAAACCCTCTGAAAAGAATCCAAACCATTTCCTCTTATATGCACAGAGTCAGGGCAGTCAGTGAATCTAAAATGACTTGCAGGTGGGAATAATGGCTGTCCATTCTACCTTACACGTTGCCTTTCATTTAGGCCAAGAACAGGCTGTGAGACACTAAATAAATCGCACCGTGAATGCATTCTGATTATCTTTGTTTCTTTTCAGATGGGCACAAACGCAAGAAGTCACTGCGAAGGAAGTTGGATTCATTAGCAAAAGAGAAGAACAAAGATAAAGGTGCAGTGAAATATGCAGCACATCTCCTGGTTAAACTTAGTTAGATTATCAGGTGCCTTTGCTGTTTCAAGAGAAATATTCCACTTATTATTATTATTTAGTTGTTTATTTTTTTGTTAGTTTGTTCATATTATTATAATATAACAAAATCAGCTCGTGGGACGCTAATATTGTTAATGTTATCATAATAATATTATACATTTTTTACTTCATTCTGGTGTTGGAAATGCTCATATATTTATTTATTTATATCTCAGGCGTCGATCTACCATACCATGAAAAAATATTCATTTAAGCATCTTAATCTGATGATATATATATATATATATATATTTGTTTTCTCATCCAGCAGTATTTCATGTCATTTGTAGGGCACTGTGCCTGAGGCAGCATGAAAAAAGTAAAGTCTTAACTCAGCTACTGATAACATGATTAGTTTTTTTTTTCCATTCCTAGCCGTAGAGATAAGTGCTGCTGCCCTTAGGACAGTGAGTGTGTAGGACTGTGGCAAAGCATTGTGGGCCTTTGGTCCCTCACAGCTGGCCTTTGTTTTCACACACGTCGGTCAGCCAAGTCTTTGGCGGCTTGAAAATGGAGCCTTTGATCTGTGGTACTGATATCAAACTGGACCCAGAGCGTCAGACCCGGAACACTGGTCCCGGAGCGCCGGCGCTGACATAATAGCGAGAGAGAACACCCAGAGCTGCACTTCTTACAGCACTGCAGTGGCTGAGGCAGCAAGAATGTGCAGGAATGTGGCCGGTCAGGGATCACACGAAAACTGGTCGAGCTCTTGGTTTTCCTGGGTTGTGTCTAAGCACGTCCCACTCCTCATGCTCCTCATGTGTGTGCAGAGCAGGGTCACAAGCATGCATACACACATACGCATCAGATCATTTTTTTGGTGTCAGAATCTGTGTCCTTAGCTGTCTGGCTATCGCTGCAGTGCAGCCCTGCAATGGTTAAGACTCGGAAGCCCCCGTTTGACTCTAATAATATCCGCAGTTAAGGGCCCTACCATGTATCTGATTGCCAGTTCAAGTCCTGGGATGCAAGGTTTACGATGCGATTGCAGAAGCTTCATTTATTGCTGTGTACGTAACACAGTGAAATTCCTGCTTGTGTGCTTCCTCCAGAACATAGTGCCAAATAAACACAATGCAATAAAAATAAGACAAGAGTAATCATTATCAGCATTTATGCTGGATAGGTTATAGAAGAACGCTAATATAATAATACAGATGTCTTTGTAAGGGCATAAAAGTTAATTTATGTGGAAACATTAGCTAAGAAACTATTAAAATTTTAAATGTTCCTGTCTCCTTTCCTCCGTCTTCCCCTAAAGAGTTTGTGCCACAGGCTTTTGGCATGCCGCTGTCACAGGTGATCGCCAATGACCGCACACACAAGCAGCGGCAGGACACCCACAAGGACGAGCACCGTGACGTCAGCGACCTGGTGTCCTCCATCCTGCAGTTTGCCACCAAGCGACCTAACAAAGAGCTGTCCAGCAGCAACTCGTCTGTCAGTTCTTCCTCAGAGACACCTAACGAGTCCACCTCACCCAACACTCCCGAAGCAGCACCCCGGACCCGCAGGCGGGTACGGCCCCCCTCCTCATGGTCCAGTAGTCAATGCCTCCCTCATCCCACCCGCTCCACCCTCCTGCACGCTGAGGCTCATAAACATCAGGTCCAGACTAACTCACAAGAATCTGTATGACACTTTGAACATCAGAATCCTATTGATCTCATTATCTTTATTTAATAATTGCTAGACACTTGTGTTAGGGTGTTTTATTACTTTTTAGTGAATTGCAGCTTTCAATTCATCCAATTTGTAAAATAAAAAAGGCTTTATTTGACTTGAGAAAACAGGAGATAAAGCATGCATTATGATGTCATAGCAGCTACACAAGCTTCTGGGGTGCCTGACAGGAAGCTTGTTTCAGAAGATAGAGAGCATGAAACCCCCCACCCCATCTGGGCAGAGGAGGAGGGAGAGAGGTGATGTAATTCCCCCGCGTTGCTCTGCATTTGGCAGGGCGCGATGTCTGTGGATTCCATCACTGATCTGGATGACAGTCAGTCCCGCCTCCTGGAGGCCCTGCAGCTCTCGCTGCCGGCCGAGGGGCCCAGCAGGAAGGAGAAGCATCGTGACAAGAAACTCAGCCTGAACCCCATCTACAGACAGGTGCCGCGGCTGGTGGACAGCTGTTGTCAGCATCTGGAGAAATATGGTGAGCCCGGGAACCATGCCATAGGCTGGTCCAGCACCTGCAGTTCTGGTTCTCACTGTGAATGGGGGACACGGCTAGCCCAGACTGCCAAGGAAAGAGTATGATGGCAGGGCATGCTGAAGTGCCGATCCACATTGTGGCTCACAAAAAAGTATTTTACTGAAAACTCTAAACAAGAAACACAGGATACAAAAGGACCATGAAGGGTAAAAACAGAGTAGGAAGACAACACTGACTAAAGCAGGGAGCTATACAGGAACAAGCAGATAGAAATTAGAAGCTAAGCACACCAAAAAAAACAGCAATTAACAGCTAACTTACTCAACACAAACAACCACAATGACTGATTCAGGAATAGACTAAGGGCAGAAGCACAGGTAACAAAGGCATGACGAGGGATAGGTGTGGGTCATTACACAAGTACATACTAATACAACAAGGAACAGGTGAGGGCAATTAATAATCACTGGACTTAAACACTGGGAAAGACTAGAACCAAAGGTACAGAACATTTTTACAGAACTAGACAGGGAATTGACAGACATAAGTCAGGGGCCAATCCTGACAGAGAGAGCCGGGCAGATGCTTTCCTTCTTTCTCACAGACATTGATTTATAAACTGGAGGCTGCTACTTCAAATCTTGAGGTACCATCTCTGGGTGCCAAGAAAGGGTATCAGCCCAGGGTTAGGACTCAGTGGCATCTGCTTAAGGCCCAGTGGCCATCAGGGAGTGACCCTGTCTGATCTACCTGTCTGACTGAGTAGGGAAGTGACAATTAAATTTATAAAATTTTGCTTAGGGTGCCAAAAACATATGGGACAGCCCTGTTTACCTGTGTTGCTTGAGTGTGAATGACTATTTTGAAAAACCCTATTTTGACATTATGTATAAGAAGGCATTTAAATCCATATAAGATCTGTTGCAGGACAATGTGATTTACATTATATATTTCTCATTTTTGTTTAGTTAGCTGGTTAGATTTGTTCAATTAGTGAAATATAGTGAAACTTAAAATTAAACTTAAAAATCATTTCTATTTTTGTGCCATCAGTTATTCCTTTTGATGAGATTTCAGCCTGTTAAGCTGGGATTTCCCACTTTTTACTTAGGTCTCCAAACTGTTGGAATTTTCCGGGTTGGAAGTTCTAAGAAAAGAGTGAGGCAGGTAGGAATCGTTGGAGGAATTGATTGGAGTTGTCAGATTTGTAGCTAATAGCTAAAATATGCAAAATATAGGTAAATTCATTGTATGCATAAATTCAATGTTTTATTTTAGTTACTCCAAAAATTAGTTGATATAGTATGGAAGCGTATTACTGCCACGACATAATAAAAAAATATTCTCACTATCATGTTATAACGTTAAAATATTACATTATAACATGAAAACATCATGTTCAAATGAGAAATCGTATAGTGCGATAATGTGAAAATATCACATTATGACGTGAAAACATCACGTTTTAACGTGAAACCGTATCACGTTATAACATGAAAATATTACGTTATACCGAGAAAACTTTTAATCCTATCGGGATAGGTTAAGTTAATCCGGAGCGGTGTTATGCCGAAAAAGGCATCCCCATTTGATTTTGCGTCAAGTACATGAGAAATATATCCCCTCACCGACTTCATTACATTTACACTGACCGCAGCATGAAATACGTTTTCTTAATACAATTATTTGGAGACAAGTGTCATCTGAGCTACGTGGTGCAACACTATTTACACTATTTTAGCCATATTATATATATATATATATATATATATATATACATACACACACACAAACACACACACACTATTTTAGCCATAAATTAGAACGAGACCCAGACATTTTAAAAAGACTGACATTTAGTGTTACTGTGCATCTAGCTGATACACACTTACAATGTAACAAGTGCTTTATTGCCAAGTTCATGTCTGCTGTTTTGAACTTTTCAATCGATATTAACAGGCATTTTACAGCCTAAGTAACAAACCGTTTTCAGATCTGCGACTTATGTTATTAGTTTTATGCTCTATATCTGTACTTTAACAAAATACAATGTTGTATGATGTGTTACATATGTTTTATGGGTTTACATACACAGAAATGATCATTTACACGAGTTACAAAAGAGAGCTTTCGCTGTTTTCAGTGGTGTGCGCTCCCGAGACAGGCATGCATTCTACGGCAGGGATGCCTTTTTCGCTATAACACCACCCCTGATCAATTTACGTTTTAATCCTATCTGGATAGGTTTTCTCATTAAAACGTAATATTGTCATGTTATAACGTGATGCTGTTTCACGTTATAACGTGATATTTGCACGTTATAACATGATATTTTCACGTTATCATGTGATACGATTTCTTGTTTTAACGTGTTTTCACGTTATAATGGAATATTTTCACATTATAACATGATAGTGAGGATATTTTTCTTATTATGTTGTGGCAGTAATACGCTTCCATAATATAGTAATTCATTTTAGTGATTGTAAAAATTAATTTGGGACACAAATATGGCATCTCAGGTGGTATTTACACAAATGGTGGTATGCTGCCAGTGGTTGTGGCTGGGAACATGCAAAGCGATGTGCTTCTATGGTGTCACAGCTGCGAGAGGAGTTTGACCGGGGCATGGATGTTCTTCTTGACGAGGAGCACAGCATACATGATGTTGCAGCTCTGCTGAAAGAGTTCCTGAGGGACATGCCTGACCCTCTGCTGACCAAAGAGCTGTACACTGCCTTCATCAACACCATGTGTGAGCAAGAGTTTCCCTTCCCCACAGCCCGAACCTTACAACAAACCCAAACACTCACCACAATCAGTAAGAAATTCTACAGAGAATATACCAAAGTAGACGTTTGCAGAAGTAGGGAACTATTTTTGCCTAATGTCTGCCAACTGGTAATCAACATCAGTAGGGAAATAGAACTCACGTGCACATCAAAACTGAATAAATTCTGATCAAATCAAACACTGATTATACCTTAGTCACGTCTGAATCACACACTGACCATATACTGGTCACACCTAGTTCATACTCCAGTCACATGCAGATCATACACTGGCCATATGCTGGTCACACCCAGATCATGCCCTGATCACATGCTGATCATACACTGACCATATGCTGGTCACACCCAGATCATGCCCTGATCACATACTGATCATGCACTGACCATATGCTGGTCACACCCAGATCATGCCTGGATTACATACCGATCACGCACAGACCATATGCTGGTCATATCCAGATCATACCCTGATCACATGCTGATCTCACAGAGACCATTGTGGTCACACCCGGATCATGCCTGGATTACATACCGATCACACACTGACCACATCCTTCTTCTCCAGTGCTGGACCCTGAGGAGCAGCAGAGTGCCCTGCAGCTCCTCATCTACCTGCTGCCTCCCTGTAACTGCGACACCCTCCACCGGCTACTGCACTTCCTGTCCACAGTGGCTGCACATGCGGATGACGTGCATGACAAAGACGGACAGGAGGTAATGGGGGTTCTGCTTTTCTGCTCCTCTCCTGGGAATTCAGGAAATATTGTTAAATCCCTTGATTTAAAGATAAATAAAATAGGAAGGGATTCATGTTGAGGAAATATCCAATAAGTCATTTACTCTATTATGTGATGATTTACCCCGCCCTGCACTGAGGGTTATCGCTAAATTACCATCTTCCACATGCCAGAACCTGCTGCTCACTGCTCCATTTTTTGCCATCCCAAGTCAACTAAAAAATGTGAAAATGAACTGGGATATGTTCTGCCTAGATCCCCGATCCTGGCACAGATGCCAGGCAGGGACTGTCGATAAAGGCCCTCACTGGGATATGTTCTGCCTAGATCCCTGATCCTGGCACAGATGCCAGGCTGCCCTTACATTTTGCTCTTGGGAGTGCTGAGACAAGGGGCGGAGCTGGGCGGGGCTTGAAGAAGCCTCTTTCCCACCTGGAGCTTTATCTGGGACCTCACTCAGCTCATCTTGCAGGGTCACAAAGCACAGCCAATACTAAAACTCATCAGTTTTGTGGTTGTGGCAAAAAAAAAAAAAATCTTCATTTTGATCATGTAGGCCAACTCTCATCAAAGAGTGCATGCTGTGAGAAAAGCCCCTTCCCTGCCAAGGGACATGATCTTGCATGGTTTTCAGGATGGGGGGTGGGTTGTTTACGGTAGAAACAGCTTTTACTAATAATAGCCTAATGACTCTGCATTTGTTAAATAATGTATTAATGTCCTACATATGTTTTTAACATTGGAAAACATCCATCCATCTTCTGGCCTTTTCTGCTAGTGAGGGTCACAGTTGCAGCATGCCAGGCATGTCAGATCAGCTACATACTGTAGTCTAGCTTGTTCTGGGGGATCCCAGGCATTCCCAAGACATCTGGGTGCTATGACTCCTCTCCCCTGAGGCCTCAGCCTACGGGGAGGTGCCTTGGTCAGGCTTCCTTGGTATCCAGTATTCCATCATCCTTCCATCGCATCCTTAAAAGATGTAAACCATTCAGCTCAACGTTCACGTTTCCTGATAAGTTTTGCTTAAATAAGTGGGTTCAACACCCCTTCAAAAAGATCACTGCATCTTTGTAGTACAGTCAGTCTTGCTACAACACAACTAATGTATTTCTCAAAAACCTCACGTTCACTAAAATAGCTCTTTGTACATTTGCGCATTAAAAATCTAAAAATATTCAAGAAATTATTATATAAAAAACACAGCAACCTTTTTTAATTCAATTACATTTATTTTTCGTAGACCTGTAGTCATGTTGCCTTCACGAGAACAGGGAGGCCAATCGGCCCATCAAGCTCGTTTGGGGAGAACTTAACTAATAGCTCAGAGTTGTTAAAATCTTATCTAGCTTTGATTTAAAGGAACCCAGGGTTTTAGCTTATTTAGTTTCAGTGCCCCTGTGCATACTGCAGTCCATTGTATCTGTGGTTGCTGTTTGTTTTTATATAATAGGTTGTCTAATATTTTTAGATGTTTAATGTGTGGATGTACAAACGTTTCGACTCTTTTACATTTGAAAACCCAGTTCGAATGATTCACCAAAAGGAATGATTTGTTCATGAACTGGACATCACTGTCATTGACTTGCATGGCTGTTTTTCTGTTCAAGTAGTGTTACTCACTAGGACTATATTGCAGTGTAGGTTGCATAGTGCTTTTCTCCAACTGAAAATCTTGCAAATATAAATGTGATCCCGTTTGTACTAATACAGTGGAACCTGCTTATAGTGATCACGCTTATAGTGATCAACTGCTTATATGGATCAAAAAGCTTGGAACAGAATCATTCCTATACAAATCCTGCTTAAATAATTTGCTAATAGTTATCAAGTAGTACACTTAGTGTTCAATTTGGGTCCTTTTACACATGACAGTATACGAAAAAAATAAAACTATAAAATTTCTTTTTTTTTTTTACTTTACTTTGATAAGCCTACTTTGCCTTGCGGTAACCTGTCTGCTTTTGGCTAGCTACCTGGGGCTAATGCTGCATGCACAGAAAACATGACGGGAAAAAGAAAGTTATTTTCTCTCAATAACAAATATAGACTCATCGAAGCTCATGATAAGCCGCCAAAAACTAGCAACGGTGAAACTACAATAAGCTATATTTTATGTACAATATTGTACAGCATCAAAGCTCTGAGCAGACTGATGAATCGCTGCAGCGGCGAATGACAACAACGAGAGGCGGACTGACACAAAGTTGTTCTTTACAATAAGCTCGCGAGGCATGCTGGGACATGCAGACGCTACAGCAGTACAGCATTAAAGCGTATTTCAATTATACAAAGTTCAGTAACTTAATTTCTACAGTACTATAATTTGAAAAGCGATTGAAACAGCTGTACTTTATTTTGAAAGTCAGTAAAATAAAATTATGTAAATAGTGATGCTGTCCATTTTATTACCTTATATTCATGTAATAAATATACAAATTTCAATTAGATGGTAATCTGCCTGAGACATAAAGAAAAAGGAAAAAAATCAGTTATAACGATCATCTGCTTATAGTGATCAACTTCACCCAGACAGATATGATTACTAGAAGCAGATTCCACTGTATATAAATTGGATTAGAACAGATTCACAGTGTGATATCACACGTTGTGGCAGGATTGACTGATTTACATTTTCAGGCAATATTACTTGTGCTTAGCAGGCCCCAGCTAGGCTGCCAGTCCTTTATATGAGCCCCATCGTTGTAGTACTGGCCAAAAAAGCCAACATGATACCAATTAAACCTCCATTATCTTGCCATCCCCAGCAACTGAGTAATTGAATTTGTTTAATCCCACTAAGCAGAAGGAATTCAGGTATGCTGGTGTGAGCAGAGCTTCCAGGATTAACAGAGTCATCCTGGATCCTTCTCTCTTTGGCTGTTTCTGGTTTACACATTCGAAGACTGCACTAACTCGTCTTGTCATGTTACAGATAACTGGGAACAAGATGACATCGCTGAACTTGGCCACCATCTTTGGACCTAACCTCCTGCACAAGCAGAAGAGCTCCGACAAAGAGTTTTCTGTGCAGAGTTCTGCCCGAGCAGAGGAGAGCGCAGCCATCATTGCCGTAGTCCAGAGGATGATTGCCACTTATGAAATTCTCTTCATGGTGAGCTTCAAAAATCTTTGATTTTGGGATTCCCTCCCAAGTCTTGTAGTAATATTTATCAACATAAGTGGATCTTCAGAGATCTGTTTGTGCTGTGTCTTCCTGGAGCAATTCAGGTGAAAATATTTTTCAAGGTCATAGCACCATCGATCTCTTGGCCAAGTCTCGAGGGTCCTTGGTTACTGCAGAGCTTAAATTATTAATATTTTGATGTTAAACAAAACACTATATTTCATGAAGGTCCCATTTCTCAGCAGGCCTTAGAGCTGCCTGTTATTGTAAATGTTTTCACATTTAACCAGACCAGACATCACGTCAAACAAAATACCAAGAGAAGCACAGCGGGTGTCAAGCACGCCCCATGTGTCTCCTGGTGGCTTTGGCAGAGACTGTTGAGAATCGTGGCCGCCGATTGTTTAGGTTAACGGATCTCCAAGCTTAACAGACAATGCCTTTGTCTTACACAGTGTAAACACTTCTCTTTTGTGGGAGAGTAGTTTAGATAGTGCAGGCTTATGGCAAATCCAGACTGGAGACAGCCATGAGTATAACAACTCTGGGCTGGTGCCAAAAGTTTTATGAGTTTATGAACTGGCAATTGTTTCACTTTTAAAGCCCAGTATTGTATGAATTGTATATTTAGCTTGCATTTTTTAGAGGTAGCCAAAGTTAAGTTTCAGAATTACATAGGAGAGTGGAAGACAGCGTTGCGAAAAATGCAAGTCAGTGACTTACTTGCTCTGCACCCAAAACAGGTTCCTCCAGACCTACAGAACGAGGTTCTGATGAGCCTTTTGGAGACAGACCCTGATGTGGTTGACTACCTCCTCCGCAGGAAGGCCTCGCAGTGGTCGTGAGTATAGCCCTGTACACACTGGCTCCAGAATGCCTGGTCTCCATTAGTCTGAGTTAAGTGTCCGTGTTGTTGGGAAAGTACAGCGTCTCCCTCTGGTGGCACACAACCGCAAGCAAGCGTGACGTACATGGAAAATTGTGTCAGAATGCTGGGCTGCGGATCCCCCATGACCCTGAATGGGACAAGCGGTTACAGAAAATGGATGGTGGGATGGCTGGATGGATGAGTGTCATTAGCATTGATGACTCTATCTAAGCCTTATATAGCTCTGGCTGCACCCTATATAAGTTTCCATCTATTCTAATGCGACTGAAAAGTTTTCTGGGCTGTAGCCTCCATTGTGGCATCTCACAGACCTCTGTCTCATACTCTGACAGTCACCCAGACCCTTTCTCCATGAGTGAGAGGCACTCATCCAGTGATTCCAACAAGGCCTCCAGTGGCGAGGTGTCCCCGTACGACAACAATTCGCCGGTGCTGGCTGAGCGCCCACTCACCCAGCATCAGGGAGAAGACATCCCCGGCCCAGAGCAGCTCTTCCCGAGCCAAATGCAGTACCCAGCACAGCTCGCCTTCAAGGCCCCATCCAAGAAACCTGGTCTGGCTCAGTGGGACGTCAAGGGTGAGCTTTGACCATCACTATTTTCGTTTCCACAGGAGCTGTGAGTTACAGCGATGCGACTAACATCTGCTCCATCAGATGGTTCAGTGATTCATTTTCAGAAATATCTGCACAGGCAGATGCTGACTCGCTGTCACGCTGTGCCCTCACACCTCCCGAGTTAGGTGCTTTAATCCCACCTCTGCTCGTTATGTGTGGAGTTTGCATGTTCTCCCTGTGTTGAGTGGGGTTCCACCTGCAGGCCAGTTAGCAGTTAGGCTAAAGGGATGCTTCTGACTTGTACATGTGTCCTGAGATATCTTAGTTCTCAGCCTTGTACCTTGTTCTGATGGATCTGTAAAGTTGTTATTGAATTTACAGTATACAGTATGTCTGCTAAATAACAGATTATGTGCCTATAAATCAAATTATAGAATCTCAATGTCCAGGTTAACACACACATTGAATAAAACACTGGCTGTATATCTAATAATTTTCCAATCCCTTACAACTCTGGAAAAAATTAAGAGACCACTCTATATTTTTTAAACAATCTGCATTTGTAAATCCTGATTTAATCCTGCTTTAATCCTGGTTTTGCTGGCAGAAGGCTACACCGAGCGGCAGGTAGCTTCCAGGTTCAAAATCGTTAAGACCACAGTACAGGTGAAGCATGAGACACTGGGGACCACCAAAAACCAGCCAGGTACAGGGCGGAAGTGACATTCCAACGCCAGACATGACTGACAACTAATTGGACAGTTTCTCATGAATCATAGGATGACATCAGGTGACCTTCAAAAGGAACGGGGAATATCAAGTACAGGTGTTATGTTGCACTGCTAGGACAGTTTGTATCAGGCTCCTAGAAGCAGGACTGAAGTCCCATAAATAAGGAAGAAGCCCTTCATTAATGACAGGGGTGCCCAACTCCAGTCCTGGAGGGCTGGAGCCCTGTGCAGCTTAGTTCTTTCCCTGTTCCACCATAAATGATTCAGCTCAAGAGCTGTGTGGTAATTAGCACAAGGTGTTGAATCAGGTGTGTTAAATGAGGGGAAACCCAAAAATGTGCAGGGCTCCGGCCCTCCAGGACTGGAGTTGGGCACCCCTGATTAATGATAAACAGGGAAGAACCAGGCTGCAGTTTGCAAAAAGAAAAAGAGTGAAACAATTTTTTTTTGCTGAGGTGTCAATTTGAGCTGAGGCCTTCAACGTTTCCCAGGTAGCAGGGGAACACCTTACATGTGATACTAGCCCATCGCAAGGCGTGCACAAACACACACACACACACACATGTAGGGTATACATATCCTTATGGGGACCGCTCATTCATTTCAATGGGACAAATGCTAACGCTAACTATGACAACCTTAACTTCTACCCTGCCCTAACCATAACCATAAGTAACCTTACAAAATACAAGAGTTTTTGCATTTTATAGTTTTTTCATAGCAGTCACCGATTTTTATAAAATTGAGTTTAAAAAAAACGGATATTTATCACGTTATGGGGACATTATGTCCCCATAAGGATAGGTAAACCCGCTCACACACACACACACACAAACACAGACATGTTTTTGTATTCATATCTTTGTGGGGACTCTCATTTCATTTCTAGGGGAAAACCCCTAATCCCAACAATGACAACCTTAACCCTTACCCAGCCCTAACCTTACCCACGCACACAAACACATTCTCCTTACACTGTCACACAACACAGGAAAACAAAGATCACCTGGACTTCAGCCTGGGCCATCTTGTTTTAATTACACTGTTTGGTTTTTGTTGTCCTTATAATGAATGACGAGTTGCACACGGAGGGGGCCGCTGTAAAGCACTTCATTCAGCACTCATTTCAGCAATTGTGGTTGATGAATAAACAGCAATTACATTTCTTAAAACATGAAACTTATGAGAGGATCATTTAGTGGTTTCTCCTTGATGTAGAAAAATAAATAAAACAAAGTGCAGCAACAGCAAGCAGAGAGCAGATTATACCAGTATTCAGTGCAGCAGACTCTACTGTCAAAGTTGAGTTTTGCCAGATTTAAATAGAGTAAATATTATCAATATTTACATCATACCATCTGTAATGTTCCTCTGATTCTTTATGAAGCTTTTCTATTCGTCTGAAGTATATACTGTGACATTGGAGATTGACAGAGTTGTCATTAAGTTAAGTTTAACAGGGCTTTATATTTGCCCATTTTCACATTTTTCAATGATGCTGTTTTTACCAAATGAAAAGACGGATATCTGGGTATCCTGGCACTTTCAAATCGACCCTCAGAAAATTACCACATGTAATAATCAAGAAATACAGTTATCCTATTTTAATACCCAAATTTTAAAGTAATGTGTATATTTAAGTACTCTTCATGTACTTAAAGAAAGTTAAAACTAACGTTAACAAACTGATTTCACATTTTTTGCAGATTCACAGTAAGTCTTTTGCATTTTCCAGGGTTACATGGGAACATGTCTGACATTGTCTCACTGGAGCAGCTTGACAATTGTCAGGACAATGTAAAACAAACTGTCCTGCAGACACAAGCTGCCTTGGGATTGCCTCAGTGCAGGCCACACCTTCCGGATCAGTGCAGGCCACACCTTCCGGATCAGTGCAGGCCACACCCTCCGGCGATGCCGATGTGCAGCAACCCACAAGATGAGCCAGGCCCACAACCGTTGCCTGGCCAACCAGCAGCCACTCTGCCGGACGACCAGTCAGTGTGCAGCTGCATGGAGGGACTGCCAACCAGAAGCCACAAGGGCTGTGATCCTCCCAGATCCACTGTACAGCAACCTGGGTCTTCTTCCCCATGTGGGAGTGCGAGCCCTGTCCCCCCCAGGGCATCTCCCCAGCACTCTGCCCCAGCCCTGGATGCTAACGGACCAGCTGGCCTCGAATGGCAGCACTGGCAGAGAGAAAGGTGGCAAATCTGGCAGCTGTTATCTTCGGACAATGCGGACACTCTACCAGAGACGCTTGTCTAGTGCCAGCTCAGCTCCAGCTGCCGATTTGCTGAGCAAACAGCGCCCCCTTCTGTCCATATGATGTATGCGCTGCTGCTGTCGACAAGTGTGCAAATGTATGTTTGTGTCTGCTTGTCTGTTACTCTGAATTGATTCATGTTGTATCATTTCTTTTTTCACCTTTTTTGTTCAATGGGTGTATTTCCGTACTTCTTGCATTGTGTTTTTGAGACACCTCAGGCAAGCCACAAGAGAAGATGTGAACAGACTTAAATTTAAACACAAAAGTATACCTATTAAATTATTATGCAGTAAAATAAATATCTATTCCATAACTGTAAGTGATCATATATCATTGGGTAACAAGTTAGCATGGAATGGCTTTAAAGATTAGGGATGAGGATGCCATTCAATCCATGGTTTGTAAGACTGAAACATAATGATTCATAATCAAAGTTATTACACATCACTTATACCGCAGTAAAATTATAAGTGTGTATGGAGGTTAGCGTCAAGTTATTTGTTCTAAAATACTGAACTGGTTACGATATTTTCGGTAGATTCATCCATTGATGTTTATATTAAGGAACTAACATCCGCTTTTGTGAGTGCTTGTGTTATTTCATTTCAGTTTGCTCTAAAATACTAATTTCATTTAAATGAAAGTCAGTTATTTTCATAAAGTTCCAACAAGTGTTGTTTATTATTATTATTTTTGTATTTTTTAATGCTGAATGTACATCTAAGGTCCTCATAGTATTTGGACTAATTGAAATCTTTCAGTTTTTATAGACTTTCAGAAATGCCTTTTTATACATTGTTCACATACAGCCATTGAAACATGCTTTGTTTTTTAAATACTAAATGCCCACACAATTTATGTGCCAAATTAACATATTTCTGAAGAGTATTTATTTAGACTAACTTTGACAAAGCAAGTATTTTAATTCTATTTGTTTCATTTTACCACCTATATTTTTCATATTTCCTAAGGAAACGGCATTCGTTGTATTTTTTTTTAATGATTTATGATTTTTGAATCCTTATCATTTGAAAAACCAGATTATGTCAGGTTATATTTATGATCTTCATCTATGTTCAATGGCTGTTGTATTCTCTTTGTATTTATGTCATATTAATGTTTATGTTTTACCAATAATAATAAAAAAACCTCTGGAATAATTTCTTTATATGTAAACAAGCAAACAAACAAAGGCATTTCAGCATGGTTTGAAGATATTGGAAATCAGTGAAACAGATCCTGTTTGGTTATAATGGGAAGTTTAAGAGCAGTATGCTTTAACACGTGTTCTAGAAAAGTGAAAGTCTACAGGAAAGCCCACTATTAAGTTACATGGGTTGCCAAAGTACTCACTGTGTGAATAATTACATTTCCTAATAATTTCTCCGTTGTGTTTGCTTGTCTGTTTTTTAGGTGACAATGCTGTTCGTTTTGGTGACTTTGCAGTTCTGTTGGACAGCTTGCTTTACATTTATGTTCTCCCTGCGCCTTGGTCGGTCCCCAGCGATTCTCTTCATAGCAGCATTTCATGATGTTTTTTTTTAATCAGTCTTTGGTACTTTGCCTGTGCAGGTTTATATTTCAGTGCATTATTTTGGGATTGTCATTTTCTCCATGATATCATGCTTGATCTTCTTTTCCTATGCAGCAGATCTTTTCACTGCATCTGCATAAACATTTTACAGTATGTGCTTCAAAATTACTCACATTAAGGCATGTATGGCTCAGTAGTCAGAAATCATCTATACATCTGTAAAAATAATAATGTGACTAAAAGGGTTTCTTTTTAAACATAATGAAATAGGAACTAAATGAATTATTGGTCATTCTGGGAATCTGCAATTTTATTCACAACCCTGTTGATCCAATACTTTTCCTGTTGGTATACGTTGTATACTTTTGCAGGTCATAACAGCTTTGCTTTGACTTACTGTATTTGCTTTTTCACAAAGTAAATATAACTTGTGGATATCTCAAGTAGACTTATGTCATTCTTTTTGAACAAATCTATTATGTGAACAAAATGATCTCAGTCACTGCACTAATTCATTCACGTTTTGTTAATTTTTTTCACTTGGTGATTCTACATCCACCGACAGTGTTTTTTTATGTTAATTTCATTCCCTAACATTCCTCGTTCACTGTGTGAATCTTCATTGACTGATTCATTCTTCAGTTCCTTCACTGTATGATTAATTTTTCACCCTGTTCACCTATTCTACATGTGATATTTATCAGAAATATATAGTAGTAATAGTTGTGTAAATAGATAATCAATGTTACTTACACAATTTAATAAATACAGTGGTACCTCAGAACTCGAAATTAATCCGTTCAGAACTCCGGACCGAATCCTAAAAACTTCGAGTTCTGATCGAATTTTCCCCATAAGAAATAATGGAAAACCAATTAATTGGTTCCTGGCCCTAAAAAATTACACCGAAATATGTTTTTTTTAGCATTTAAATGCAAAATGAACTAGACATAACAAGAAAAGCATATACTGCACTAAACACATCTAAGCACATTTATCAAAACAGTAATTTTTAAAGTAAGAAAATAAATGTATCCAAACAATGTGTAAAGTTAAAAAAAACAAACAATGCATGTAGATTCATTTAATTTCCAACCCTCCAGCTGGGTGCTTAATTTTTTTGTCACTGAGTGTATTTTAACTTTTCTGCAGGCGAATGCCAAAGTCTGCAGATAGCACTCGAAGTAGCATTATGCATCATTTCAAATTCTCAATGCCTTGAATACCCTCAGACCTTTCTTTATAGTATAAATCTTTCAACAGATATGCCTGCACTAATAAAATTATATACTGACATTCATCTACAATCAGTTTAGATTATATTATGGTTAATTCATAAGTTTCAAGAGATCAAAAGCAAATATAATAATCATAATTTCCATGATCAAATAATTCTCACCAGAAAACTGTATCAGTGCAGATATTTTGGAACCATAGATAATTTCCCAGAATTTTGCTTTACAGTTTCTTTTGTTTTGGCTGTGGAGTTTGGGTTTCTGTTGTCTACTCATTCTTCACCTTAATAAATTATTATTTAAAATGCAGAAGCCTTATTAGAGGACTAGGTTACTATTTTACAAGGTATTACAAGATATTTTACAAGGTTACAGCATTTGTGCTACTTATTACAAAAACTATATTTATCTAACTGCTTATGCTAATCAGTGTCAAAGGCATTTGTGCATTTTATTACATGTAGAGTGTGTATATATATATCTGTGTGTGTGTGTGTGTGTGTGTGTGTGTGTGCGTGTGTCTGTGTGTAATTGTCAGATTGCATCTATACATCCACTATTGTCTTACCTTGCATCTATATTGTATTTTGTCTGAGCTGTGCCAAGAATGAATAAATTCAAAATTAAGCACAATATATGAGTCATTCAATTAAACTATAAATCATTCATCAATTTAAAAATATAATACATACTTCTTAGACTGTTAATGAGAAAAGGTCATAAAATAACCAAAATGTAAAAAGTTTTTGAGTTATAATGGATTTCTGAACCAGTTTGTGAAAATTCCTTTAATATTTACAAGACTTTAATAACAGATATTTCACATGGCATGCAGAGGGTATTTCTGGATTTTAATTTGAATACTGCATGCTCTAATGTAAGGATCTATCAGCCTGGGGGAGTGTGTGGAGCAGGTGTAGGGGTTCCTCAGAAAGAAATTGTAATTTCAGGTGATATCGGTGTAAGTATCCAAGTTCATGCAATGTGAAAAAAATATTTAGGGGGTTCCCCCACCCACAGGCAAAAATATGCACCTCCCACAGCCCTGGAGTGAAAAATATTAAAGGCCTGATGCTTATTCTTTAGTTACTCCTGTGATCACCTGACCTTAGCTCTGTTTTCATTTGTGGGACTTTTCGTAAGAAGGGCTGAAATCCCCTGATCTAATGAATTTGAAAGGAGGTAGGTGGATTTTGGCAGGACATCAGGCTCTGTGAAGGCTTCAATTTAGCCAATTTCAGCACTGTAATGACCCAATGAGCTCAGTCTGGTTTGACCTCCTGGAAACCCAACTGTTGGATGGCAGCTGTGAGACTGCCTGGATGTTTTTGAAGGGTGGGGAAAGCAGTCATTGAACTTTGGGAACTTTATCTTTTCATTCTTTTATATGTTCCCTGGGGAATAATTTTTAGTGTAGAATCTACACTATACGGACAAAAGTATTATGACACACCTCTGAATCACTCAGGAGTTTCATTGAGACCCATTGCCACAGGTGTATAAAATCAAGCACCTAACTATGCAGTTAGGTTTTCAAACATTTCTGAAAGATTGGGTTGTTCTGAAGAGTTCAGTGAATTCAAACATGGTATCATAGGGTGCCACTTTTGCAATAAGTCAGTTTGGGAAATTTCTTCCTTGCTAGATATTTCACAGTCAACTGCAAGGGGTATTATTGCAAAGTGGAAGTGTTTAGGAAAAGGTTTAGAAATTCAGCCTCAAAGTGGCAGACCACCTAAACAGAGCAGGGTCGCTGAGTGCTGAGGTGTGTAGTGCACCATTAGACTCTGGAGTAGTGGGAATATGTTCTGTGGAGTGCTGTATCATCATGCATCTGTGTCTGTTAGTCTGATGGATGAGTTTGAGTTTGGCAGATGCTAGGAGAATGTTACCTGCTTGACTGCATTGTGTCAACTGTAAAGTTTGGTGGAGGAGGGATAATGGTATAAGGCTGATTTTTGGGGGTTTGGCAAGGCCCCTTTGTTCCAGTGAAGGAAACTAATGCTTCAGCACACCAAGACATTTTGGACAATTATATGCTTCCAACGTTATGGGAACAGTTTAGGTAAGGCCCTTTTATGTTCCAGCTTGACTGTGCCCCAGTGCACAAAGCAAGGTCCACAATGATATAGTTGGGTGAATCTGGTGTGGAAGAACTTCACTGGCCCACATGGAGCCCTGACCTCAACCCTTCTGAACACCTTTGGGATAAACTACAATGGAGATTGTGAGCCAGGCCTTTATGTCTAACATCAGTGCCTGACCTCACAAATGTTTGTCTGGATGAATAGGAGCAAAAATTCCCAGAGACACACTCCAGTATCTGGTGGAAAGCTTTACCAGGAGAGACAGCTGTTATAGCTGCAAAGGCGGGACCAAAGCCTTAATGAAGCCTATGGATGTACAGTACAATAGGATGTCATAAAATTTTATCTAGGTGTAATGGCCAGGTGTCAGAAGGCTCATGTCCTCGGCGCTTCACCTGCTCATGAGCCACAACCCCCAGCCGCTGAGGGAGAGGACATCTGCCCTGCCCCCGGGCTCGCCTTTGGTCCCCCTTGCTTCTGCTCAGCAGACGCATATGGTTCCCCCAGCTCCTGCTTGGCTGTCACCTTCAGTCCCCCTGGGCCCTGCTTGACGCTCACCTGTGGTTCCCACTACAGTGACTCATTGGTCATCTGCGGTTCCACCTCCGACGCCTCGTCAGTCGCCTGCGGTTCCCCCAACTCCACCTCATCTGTCGCTGGTGCCTTCACCGGCTGTGGCTTCCCCGTTGCCTGTGGCGACTTCAACTCCCTCCTAGCCTCCTCTGCTGTCCCCTTCACCTTCCTCCTCAACTCCTCCGGCGGTTCCGCCACCTCCCTCCTCACCCCTTTCGGGGTCCCCTCCACCTCCTGCCTCATGGTCGCCAAGGGTCCCTCCAGCTCCAGCCATGCGGCCGCCTTCCACCCATCAGGGGTCCCTCCACTCCCTGGTTCCCCTCGCCCTTTGTCTCTTTGTTCACTGGTTTGGTTCCTCCTGTGGGTGGTTTCCCTGTGTCTGCTCCCCGTTTGCCTGGTCCCTCTGTACTCCCTTTTGGTCCCTCTCCTCCCTGGGTCGGTGTTCTCCCTATTAGTTCCATGCCTTTTGTTGGTCTGTTCCCTGGTTGTGTTTCCCCTGCGCTTTTTCCTTGGGTTTCCCATTGTTCTGTGTTCCTGTCTTTGGTGCTCCTGTGTGCATCTGCATTCCTCATGCTTTGTCAGTTGCTGTCTTGGTTGATGTCTTTGTCCATGTTCTGCATTTGTTCCTGTTCATCATCGTTGATGTTTTTTGCTTTTCTTTCCCCTAGGTGCCCTGTGTCATGCCATGTCCCTGGTTTGGTCCCTTCGGTCCCTTTAGGCACACCTGGAGCGCGCATCTTTGGGGGTTGGGGTCCTGTCCTGCTCCGATTGTCCTGACCCACCCGTGTGCCATGTCCCCCTCTCTACCTCTTGTGGAATCCCCGTGTTCCCAGCTGTTTCAAGTCCTGTTGATTATTGTGGTGTGTTTAAGTCCGTGTCAGAATCTGTTTTCCTAGTCCAGTCAGTTCTGTGGTCTTGAGTGTTTCTATTCCAAATAAACCCCATGTTCACCTGATTTCCCTAGCTCCTGTGCCTGCATCCCCGCTTCCTGTCCAGACATAAACTTCTTGATTATGTTGCGCACAGTGGACAAAGGAATATGAAGATCTCTGGAGATGCACTAGTAGCCCTGAGATAGTTGATATTTTTCCACAATTTTTGTTCTAGAGTCCCCAGACAATTCTCTGCTCTTCTTTCTGTTCTCGATGCTTACACACACAGACACACAACAGAAAGGTCAACTTTTCTCCATTTTAACTGGCTTCAGGTGTGATTGCTATATTGCAAGCACCTGCTTCTTGTCATAGGTGAGTTCAAACAAGCATCATATGCTTGAAATAAAACGATTTACCCACAAAATGGTGCATTTTCTCGAAAAATTCCAGAGGTGCCATGACTCTACATAAAAAAAAAACAACTTCCTCATGTGGAAGCCGATCTAGTCAATGTCGAAACCAAACATATGCCCTTGTGTGTATGAATAAAACATCACTACAGGCAGTCCCCAGGCTACCAATGGGATTCCGTTGCCAAAGTCAAACACTGTACATGATGATAATAATTTTAATATACAGTAATAACAGTAATTACCTTTGGAACTGTGCCATC